ATAATAATAATAATTATAATAATAATAATAATAATTGTTTTTTCTCCTCCCCGGAACAGCCAATCAGAGCGCGACATCGTGTGCCACAACCTGGTGTTCCTGCACGTCAACTACAACACGTTCCGCGCCGTGTTCTGGTGCATGTACAAGCTGATGGAAGACGTCAAGGTCATGGCCGCCGTGCGCCGGGAGGTTGAAGAGGTCGTGGAGGCCAAGAGAGCCGGGGACGACCCGGAGGCGGACTTCACAGCCGAGGACGTCAATAATCTGCCCGTAGTCGGTGAGTGGATGCCCATACTTGTCTTTTCACCATCGTATCTAAAGATAATTGTCATTTCACTATCATATCTATATTATCGACTTGTTGCAGGATCATAATCTATAATATATTCGTCGTTTATGGATCATATCTAGATCTATCTCTATATGTCGTTTCAGCATCATATTGTCTATCTCTACGTGTCGTTTCAGGATCAAACAATACCGTAGTAGTCTTTTTGATATGATAAAACCAAAGGAAAAAAAAAACAGCGTCAGAATGAATTTCATTCCATAAAGATGACAATCTCTCGTAGAGTTATGTTGAGCTCGTAATGTCGACAGACAAAAGAGGAAATAAATACATTGTATTTCATGAGTTGAAATGAATATTCTTACTTTAGTCTCTGTTTGTTTTTGTTTTTGTGTTTTTTGTTTTTTCATGAGCTAAAAACTAAATGTCCCTCACTTTGTCTCGCCCTGACAGACTCGTTCCTGAAGGAAGTGTTGCGCTGGACCAGCGGTGTGTTCATGGTGAGGAAATGCCTGGAGGACACGGCCTTCACAACGTCCTCTGGCCAGACCTACAACATCAGGAAGGGAGACAAGGTTGCCATCTACCCTCCAGTCCTGCACCATGACCCAGAGATCTACGAAAGCCCATACGTAAGTTTCCCACTTTTGTCTTAAATATATCTAATAATATTACAATATCCGACGTTTAAAAAAAAGACAAAATCGGGGGGGGGGGGGGGGGGGGGGGGGTTCTGAACCAAAATTTTATCGTCTTGGCAAAAACGCTGAGAAAGCTTTGTGTTACTTATGAGCCTTCTCGTTCTTGTCCTAACATTATAATCCCCTAGATGAATGAGTAAACTGGGCAATTTTGTCAACTGCAGTAACACCATTATTTGATTAATCCATTTTCATTAATTAAAATATTGTTCAATCATCTTTTTGTCTTGTGACCACATATTGATAATAATATTTCAATCCGCTTCATCTCTACAGGAGTTCAAATACGACCGTTTCATTGGCGCCGAGTTCTTCAAGAACGGCCACAAGATCAAACAGCCACTGATCACCTTCGGCTCCCGCTGCCCCGGACAAAAGCTGTCCATGCTCCAGATCAAATGGTTCATCATCAACTTCGTCAACTCCTTCAAGTTCGAGCTAGAGGAGGGCGAGAAGACGGTGCCCAACACCAGCATGTACGGCCACGAGATCCTGCCGCCCACCAACGACGTGAGGTGCCGGTTCAAGGAGAGGGAGGGAGCCTGCGAGCTCAAGTTTGTCAATAACTACGGCCAGAGCGAGGGCCGGGGTCTCCACGGTATATCCTCGGGCAATTTGTTGTGAGTGCCAACATGTTTACGCGGTTTTGTTGTGTTTTAGAACTTTTGTGTATTTAGATTACAGCATTTATTTATTGATTGATTTGTGAAAGGGGTTTCTGTTCTGTTCTTTGAGTTGTTGTACTCGTTATCGTTACTGTTCGTTTGATTGTTTATTCTGTTTATTTGTTTGACAAAGAAGAGATCGCTTTTTCTCTTTGTGAACGAGTACGACAGGCGAGGAAGTCGTATAGACAGAAGTTGGAGAAACGTTTTAGCAAAAAATTTTACAATTGTTTACGACATTATTTTCTGTTTTGTTTGCCACTATTTATTTTTCATATCTGGAGCTGATGAACTGTGAGAAATTTAATGTTTCAATTGTTAATTCTTAATCAGATTTAATCAGATTTAGACTCTTTTCACGCAGAAAAAGCTAAGTCTTGATTTGTCTTTTTGCCATGGATGTTGAAAAATTGTGTTGGTGAAGAGGTCCACTACGGTGTGTCTGGGCAACCGTTGAGAAGGGAAAGTCATGGTCAACGTCACCCTGTCTGACCTGCTCTGACGTCACACTGTCTGACCTGCTCTGACGTCACACTTTCTGACCTACTCTGACGTCACACTGTCTGACCTGCCCCGAGCAGACCAGAACAGGACGTTGTCTTCACTTGTTGTTACCTTAGTTAGTGAATTCGCTGTACCATTGTCTGATCTTTATGGCTGACATATTATTAACAAAATGTGTATGTGTACAAAGTTCCTTTATTTATTTATTTAATTTGTACAGAACATGATTTCATTCGCCCTGTTTATTATTATTATTATTATTATTATTATTATTAGGAATATTTTTAATTATTAATAATATTATTTTATCATCATCATCATCATCATCATCATCATCATCATCATCATCATCATCATCATCATCATCATCATCATCATCATCATCATCGATATTTTTATTCTCATTTATATGATCACCTTCAACGCAAAGTCCCATCCTATATTAAGATGTCCAGTTTCATCAAAGCTCTCCCATGTTAGATGCACGCGTGCATGTTGTGTTGTGGGAACAGAGACCGGTAGAAGAAGAATATGTCGAAGATTGTAATTGTGCTCATGAACATTTCCTTTGTCTGTGACACGCCTCACCCTCACACTGCCTGAGACTCTCTGTTCAATATAGGCCGAACATGTGTGGCGACATGGAAACCATTTTAGCATCTTGTCTTGGCATGAAGTCAAAGATTGCCTTGATTGGTGATTATTTATGCGTACGCTTTCTTTACCCTAGAGGAGACATTAGTCTATCGGATAATGATATGCCAAGACTTTACCATAGCCCGATTTTTAAAGTTTTTTTTATTTTTTATATTTTTTAAAGCAGAAATAGTAGGCAGATAATATGCCAAGATACCAGTGAGTTCAATTTATATTCTGCTTTGTCTCTGGCGGCTCCGCCTATCTCTTCTCATACCAACTGAGATAACCCAGTTCCATGAATTGGTCTGGTTTTTTAAAAAGCTTAAGGCTGGGAAGAAAAGAAGAGGTGGTGGGGTGGGGTGGGGCGAGCGATTGGTTCGTGTCTCAAAAGTATGCCGGCTAGAAGCTGAAGAGTGTTGCAGATAAATGCTTTGTATGTGCTGTTGTCCAGATGAAAATCTCAGATGTTCGAAACTACGGGTAAACAATACAACACATCACTGGAATGACTGACGCTTTGGAGAGGTTGTGTGGAGTGTGGTTGTCTTTGGTGGGCTCACGAGCTTGTGTGCTTGCTCGTGTGTGTGCGTGTGTGTGAGTGCATGTGTGTGCATGTGTGTGTGTGTGTGTGTGTGTGTGTGTGTGTGTTTATTTGTTTGTGTATGCATGTGTGTATGGGTGTGGGTGTCTG